ACTTGCAACAATAGCACCATCTCTTCCTCCTCCACAACTTCTGAGAAGCTTCTAGGTGGAAGCCCTCATTGGAGATGCACATAAGATCAACTGAAACTCTGGTCTTTAAGAACCTTCAGTCCTGTCTCCCCAGGATCAGAGGTCCCAAGCTGTGACATTTCTCATGATGCAGAGGTGCACAAACTACAGAAGGGGCTGCAACAGCGAACATAAACTCTAAGTCCCTGGATTTCCCTCTGCAACGCAGCCCCAGGACAGCAGGAATCCCACCCCTTAAACCCTCCCTGTCCAGAGTTCACTTAGACTGACTTTTCAGGTCAAAGAATTCATTCTGACTTTCCCCGTCTCACCCCAGCAGCAACAAGCATTTCACATCAAGGACCTATGATTCACAGGGCAAGTTGACTCATTTCTGAAAGTTTCCAGTTTGTGAATGAAAATGGTATTGACAGCTTGGAGGAGGATCAAGAACAGGGGACAATGTACCTCGCTCTGGAGGGACCTAAACAATGCAAGTCACATTTGCAGGCAACTGATTAAAATAAGGAGGGCGGTAATGGGAAAATATTGGGATGGTTACTGCCGCCCCTTTACTTACTTGATTACTTATTTTTTATTAATTGACCATGTTTACCTGGTTAATGACATTTCCCCCACATTTCTCGTGCGCCTTTTGGTTTTATTTTAATGTGAAAACACCCACAGTAGGCTTTCGGATGCTCATTTACAGATTCAGAGCCTATAAAATGACGGTTGTTTTTTGTTTTTTGTTTTTTCCCATATAAGAAAAGGAAGGAAGTAACTGGTCGAGCTCCTATTGCAGAGGGTCATTTTATCTAATGAAGACCCCGCAGGGCAGGAAGCAGAGGCTGGGAGGGCTTAACACAGAGGAACTCAGCAAGCGGAAGAACACCTTAGACTCTGGGCTTATTCTTGTAGGAACCTGCTCAACCAGAGCACTGTCCAGGAGCCAAAGCTCAGGGCTGGAGCACCCGACAGTGCACAGGGACAAGGAAAGCCAGCCCTGGAGACTACTGAGCACGACTCTCACATCTACTCAGCCCGACCTTCCATCTGCAGAGCACCATGTAACTCCAGACCAAAGCACATCGCCAAGCCAAGGGCCAGAACCCTGCTCTACATGGGAAGCCTGACGAGAACCTTAGGGAAACCCAAGGCAGGTGAATCAGATCCTGTGACCCTTGCGGTCCTGAGCCACAAAGCAGGGGAATACCCTTTGCCTCAGCCCCACCACACACACAGCCCCAGGGCGCAGGGGAGAAAACCCCACCTGTGAATCATAGGAGCTCAGAACCTTCTCTGGATCTCTCTCAGAGCCCACTGAAGAGGTCGGCATGTGTCATCAGGGGCCAGGACAGCTGCACAACTCTCCTGTGAAACAAGATCTCATGGGCTTGGGGGTCTCTTAGGTTACCTCATCAATGCATGAGATGACCTGTCTGCAGGGGACGGGAGGCTCAGAAATGCCAGGCGAAACCTGGCATGTGGGGATGTGGTTTTCAACTTTTATACATTATTTTAGTGGATACCTGGCTAACTTGGAATCAAGATCTTAACAGGTGAAACCCCAGGGAAGGTAAGTGACTTATCTTGGAATTAGACAAACCTGGAATTAGAACTCAAGGGTTCATACTCTTTTTCCCCATAACTATACATCCTTGCTCAGAATAAAAAAAAAAAAATGAAACAAAGCAAAATAAATAAAACAAGGGCTAGGGATGTAGCTCAGTGATAAAGAGGTTGCCTAGCAGGTATGAGGCCTTGGGTTCAATTCCCAGCAAATAATAATAATAAAATATAAATTTTTAAAATACAATAAAATGAATTTAAAGTGAATGACCAAATAATAGTAAAGAAGATTAAAATCCAGAGGCAATACTTTCCTAGCCAATCAGGGGTTCTCTGTGGTATCAGCTAAGAACTCTGAGCTGGGAATTGCCTCTTTTCCTACCCCAGCACACGGTGGAAGGAGAACTAACAATGCATTCTATTAATCAATCCTGGTGACACTGCGTAAGTCCTACTATTTAGAGTCTAACAGCTTGAAGGGGCTCCAAGTCTGTTGTGCAGATGAGAAACATAAGGTCCAGGGAGAGGAATTGAGCTGCCTAGAAACACCCAGCTGGCCGTGGGCAGAGCCGATCCTGTATCCATCACTCACTCTCCACCACTGTACGATCCCCAGGGCACAGCACACATCCCGAGGTTAAGGACAGGGACACGGCTAATATGTCAAAACCTACACATGAGAAGAGATGTGGAAGTATAACAAATGGGAAAGCAAAGGAAGACTTTATTTGGTCCAAATCAAAGGTGGTGTAGCTGCCTAATGTAATCAAACAATGCAGCCCCTAAAAAGGAAGAGATGGCTAATCTGGATTACGTTCTGATGGACCACTGAGTGATAGACATAAGCTGTAGAATAATCTGTTTATCCCAAGTCTAACAACAGTCCTCAGTGTGTGCAAAAGTAAATGCTCTGGAGAGGTCTGCAAAGATGTGCCCCCAAATAATAACAAATATCACCTAAGCAGAGGTAATGAGAATGCAAGGATTGGGGGTGGTGAGCTGAAAGAACTTCAGCCTTATTTGGGAAGATTTTTTTTCCCCTCAAAATGAATGCATTCACTTAATATTTTTTTTTTTGCAATAAAAGTTTGACAATTTTTTAAAAAGAGGAAATAGAAATAACATTTTAATGATTCATCTGTCTATTCATCCACCAGCTGAGCACTTCCAAGTGTCAGTCATGAAACAAGATAAGAAGTACAGCCCCTGCCCAAAAACTTATATTCTAACTCTAAGAGGTTTACCTGCTAGTCAAGCATAATGAGGTATGGACATGTATTCTGGGGAAAGAAAAGAGGAGATTAAGAAAATAAAGAAAGTGACCTCCATGTTTCACTGGAGATCCAAAAGCCAAAACTAGGTCCCCAGGAAATCCTAAGGCTGCCATCTTGTAACACAGATGTTGGCAAAGTACGCAAGTGGAGAGACCTTTCATGATTTAAAAGAAATTTCCACTGCCTTCAACATCAGTTGAGAGCTTGGAATGGAATATAATAGCACAAAAGACAGCTTACAGTTCCCAAACATTGAACCCCACAAATAGGGAGGTGGTGTTGTTGCTCCTTAAAGATGTGGCTTCTTTGGCTGTTTGTCTCGGTATATATGGATTACTCCGCTGAGCTAGAGATGGCCTCTGCCAAAATTGCTGTTTTGATTTGGGTTTCTAAAAATAACTCACAGACCGCCTGCAGCATGAGAGAAAGATGGTAGCACACAGCTCGAGGGAGGAAAATAGAAAGCATTTGATTTGAATTACCTCAGAGCTGAAATTGAGCACAAATACCTCCTTGTAGCAACTGCTATATAATGACCCACCTTAATGGAACCCTTTTAGAACAGAGGCAGTTCAACAAACAGTTTAATTGAAAATAAAATTTCCAGACCAACTATCCTGTCAAAGCCACATTAAATGAAGATAGCTCAGCAGTGACCAAATCTCTGGTGAGATGTCAGATGTGTGACGGGAGAGAGGGGCAGAAAGGTGTGTGTGTGTTACATGTTGCCGTGGGTGGGGGTGAATGTGTTCTCCTCTCTAGGAGAAATGGGAAGGAGGGCGGGAGGAAGAGAGTCAAAGACATTCAAATTTAAGAAATAAAATTAAGGCCAGACCTGGTGGTTCAGGCCTGTAATCCCTGCAGACTGGGAGGCGAAGGCAGGAGGACCTTGTGTTCAAAGCCGGTCTCAGCAACTTGGCAAGGCACTAAGCACCTCAGTGAGACCCTGTCTCTAAATAAAATATAAAAAAAAAAAAGGGGGGCTAGGGATGTGGCTCAGTGGTTGAGTACCCCTGGGTTCAATCCCCAGTACCCAAAAACGTAAAAAATAAAAGAAATAAAATTAAAAGATAGGTGAGTCACTAAGTCGGCTGAGTTAGGTTCCAAAGGCTTCCAAGGAAATCTGTGTCTTGAAGCCAGCATCTGTTTTGTTTAAAGACACATCGCTTGGCTTGCACGTTCCTTCATTAGCAAACAGTCTCTCACACCCAGCACCAGGCCTGGGTCTGAAAACGCTCAGGTGGACAGAGAGGACGCTGAGGGGATGCCCCATGTAACTATTTCCCCAAAACCCATAGACACTGCAGCTAACCCCTTCCAAACCCCAGCACTGCCTGCCCCACCGTGCAGCTTCATGAAGAAAGGAAAACTCTCTTCCAGAAGGTTCTAAAACCCTGGTTCCTAGCCCTTCCAATGACTCCAACAGAGCTGAGGGACAGCACCTTGACTTGGTGTCAGTGTGTGKGGGTGGGAACTGAACTAAGAAAGGAAACCGGAAGGGGCTCATGCACCCACATTCTGGAAGGAGCCTCCCTGACCATGCTGGGCTTAGGAGACCCTCCATGAGTCCTTTCCAGAAGAAAATACAACTCAAACCTGAGGGTGATGAGGACGAGAAACAAGCTCAACCCTGCTACGTGGTGGAAGCAGGAATCAGACTAGAGCCTCTCTGATTTGGTGGTGCATGCCCATCTTCCGTGGCCCAGCATTACATGGTCCCCTGAGACCTTCTAGAAAGTTCCAATGCTGGAAGCATTACACTGTAGATGGCTGGAGACTCTATGAAAAGTATAACTGAGGCTTTGGCTGGGAATCCACTCTCCTGCCAAGGGGATGGACGATGGTGATGTTCCCTCCACTCTAAGGTTTTCCTGCCCCCAGCCAGAGCTTGGAAGGAACCCAGCTCTGGGGTTCAAATGGCAGCCCTGCTGCTCAGAGCCGTCTAAGGTTTAGTAAATAGGCACCTCTGGGTCTCCCTAGTTCCTGCATTTTGAGAAATAGCACCTAACTAATGGTTTTCAAGAGTCCCTCTAAAGCACTTTGTGTTCATTAGCCCACAGAGGACTTCCAACGTGCTGCTATGATTCTGCGTGCCCAAATGAGAAAGACATGGCACAGAAAAGCCAYATTACTCACCCAGCGCTGCTCTGCTCATTGATGTCCAAAGCGGGATTCTGCAGGTGGTCTGGCTACAGTCCATGCTGTGACTGGGATCCAGACACACTCTGGGGAACCATCAGGAGACTTCTACAAGATCACAGGAATGAAAAGCTCCCCAGGCCACCTGCAAAGAGGAAGAACTCAGTAACTTATTAGGCATCACTTAAAACTTAATATGTTTGGTGAGCCAGAAATACAAGGGCGTCCACTACAGTACCCATGTGGCTGGGGTGAATGGGACACGGCCAACTGCAGAAGTGCCTTTCCCTGACCAGCATTCTCCACCTGTCCACAGCTGGCACCCTGCCTTGGACTCAGGGCACCGGGCCAGGGCTATAGTTCTCTTCCCTTTGAATCCTCCTGGTGCCTTCTCTCTGGGGATCCTGCAGGAACCTAAGCTGGGGTAGCTGAGGTGGGGACAGGCTCTGACATGTGCACAGCAAAAAGCATGGTTGCTTCCAAAGTGACACAGACACATTAATCCCCAAGGCAACAGGCAAGCTGGGGTGGACCCACCACTTCTGAAACTCTGCAGATGCCAATCACACAGACCTCGGGTTGATCCCTTGTACAGAAGAGGTGGCATGCACTCCAAAAGGTGGCAAAAGTGACAACCTGGCAGAGGAGACTCTGTTGGCTGTGGAGGAGCCAGTCAACCACTGCTGACTTCTTATCACAACATTCCAGCTCCGTTCAAGTTCAGGGCAGACAGCAAGGCACTCAGAGAAAGTTGAGGCCAGGGAAGAATCATTCCTAGCCTGAAACAGCCTCAGCAATCCCACTACCTCTGAGAGGGGCTGGCCAGGAGGCCACCTGGCCCAGGCTGGCCAAGGACACGTAAGGGGAAGTCTACTGGGGATTTCTGGGGAAATTCTTCTTCCCTAGTAGAAGATAGAGACTTGAAATAGAAAGGACCTCTTTTCCTACCCAAGTCTTCTTTTTGCTCAAAATGCTGTCTTGGCAAAGTGATGTCTACAGCAGAAAAACAAACCCAGGGCCCCGGCGAGTGCATCTTTTCTGATACCTCTGCTAATACCAGGTGCAGGCAGTGGGGTAGAGAAACAGAAACTCCTAAGCACGACTGGTGGAAGTGTACATTGGTACAGTCATTCTGGAAAACAATCTGGTAGCACTCGTGAAATTAAATATGCACATGCACTATGACTCATCCGTCAGTGCTGGGTCCAGGCCAGAGAAACTCTCTCACAGTCCATGCAGGTACAGGTGTGAGGTGCTCATCACAAAACCAGCTGAGATCACCTGGAGTCCATGGCGGGGTACAGAGATGTAAACAGGGCAGGTCCTGTGTCAAGGGAACCAGCTGTACTGAGGGCACCAGGACTGGATTGATCCGGTTTGGATATGGTTTGAGGGTGTTCCCAAAGGTTCCTGTGTCTGAAGCTTGGGGTTCAGTTTCCAGCTCAGTGCAGTGATGCTGAGGGTGGGAGAGACCCTGGAGAGATGGGCCCTAGTGGGAGGTCATTAGGGAGGCTGCCCTCCAGCAGGGATTAACATGGTGCTCACAGCATCCCTGCCCCTCCCTGGCTCTCTCCTTCACCATGGGATCTCCTGCTCTCACTCGCTCTCTCCGTAACACCAAGCCCCACGCCGCCTCTGCCAGAGCCAAGTGATGCTGCCCGGTGCCCCTTGAACCTGCAGCACTGGACTAGGCACCCAGGCAAGGCAAGGAGCAAATGCACTGCACTAGAAGCCCATGGAGGAGTGAAGAGGAGGGAAACGAAGAAAGAAAAACAAAAGGAAGCAAGAGCGGGGCCCCATGGGAACCAATGATGACATGCCTGGAGAGGAAGCTGTCACGAAATTCAGCGGAAAAAAAATGCAACCAAATTAAGTGTCAGAAAAGCCAGGTGTGATGGCTTCCATGATTCTCACTGGCTGTGGCCCTCTGGCAGGTCCCCACGGTGAAGAGCAGACATGAAGAGCTGTCGTGACACACGCTGCGTGCCTCTGAGGGGATCCCCTGTGGGAGACTGGAGCCCCTAGTGCTCAGAGGCTGTCTCTAGAATAAGGTCCAGCGTTACCCATGGGGCAAGCGCAGTGGGACAAGGGCAAAGAGGGGATGGGGAGGACCAGAGCCCCATAACGAGGGTGCTGACACCTGTGGGGGACGGAGAGTGCCTTCGCTAAGTTGCRCTTGGACCCAGTCCTGGCTGGGGGCTCCCCAGCTCACGGGCCGAGTGAAGCTCCTGGGGTCCCAACCCCGGCACCACCGCCCGCCCCTCACTGCAGAGCGGATGCTGTGCGTGTGCCAGGTGAGCAGTGGGGATSGCGCTGCCCCTTCTGATGCCACCCGAGGGGGCACATGGGACCCTGCACATTCACGTATCGAGTMCTTCTTTCCTTCTGTGGCAACAAATAATACCTACTGACGGAAGCAGCTTCCGGGAAAGAGAAGAGACGAGACAGARAAGAGCAAAAGAGGAAACCGTCAGCCCTCCTGTCACCCCCATGGGGGTAAGCACTGCATTTTCCGAAGAGCTGGCATCTCTCTGTACGAAAGGTTTCCATGATCTCRGGAAGGACACGTGCCTTTGGGGACTGTCACATCACAACTTGTCACCACTCTCCTCAAGGTGCTCCCTCCTCCCCATCATGGTCCTTTAGGAGTTGGGAGAGACGGAGGAGCAGGAACGGCATGAGTTCCTGGGGTCCCTTTTACCCCAAAAGGCGTCTAGCTGCCCACTCTCCGAATGAATCCTCAACAGGGAGACAAGGTCAAAGTGAGGCTTTGCTGCTCCTGACAAATTGTTCCCAAAGACCTATTTATGCTGCCACTAGCCAAGCAGGCCCCTGCCAGGCTCCCTACAGATTCTCACAGAACAGGGCAAAACCTTTTATTCTAAGGGAGACGCTGCCATTGCCCTGCTTTGACGAGCACTGCTGTGACCCCCAGGGACCCCAACTCACCGCGGAGCCGTGACCCCCAGGGACCCCAGCTCGCCGCAGTGCTCTTTTCCTCTCCAGACCTGTCCGAATGCGCACATCTTCCCAAAGAAGTGTCTCTGTATATAAAGAGACGCTTTTCAAGGCAGCCTAGGGGTGGAGTAGGGGGCAGGACTGTGAGAATTGGGGAGGGCAGTCTTAAGCCTCCTGAGAAAGAGGGAAAAATAGAGGAGTAACAAATGGAATATCCTCCCGAGAAACCGCAACTGAAACTCCCCCGCGGCCAYCCTCCCTGAGAACACGTGTGTACAACAGTGGCCACACCACGAGGAAGAGCCGAGCCCCGGGCAGCAGGACCCCAGGCATAAGTGGGTGGCCTCCGAGTTCTGGGACTTGGGCTCTCCAAGGCCATTTTTTAAGTTAATTAATCAACTTATTTATTGATTCACTTATTACAGGAGTAGTTACAYTGGTTTTCACATAAGATAAGCAAACACAAAGAATGTGAATAAACACACAGAAAAAATAAGGGGTGTCAGGAGAGGAAAGGAAGCGAATGCAGAAGGAGAGGCACGTGGCCTSGAGAACAAGGTCAGGCTCTGTCCTGCGCCATGGGGTGACCACAGATAACAACTGCTTATCACATGCATCATAAAGAACCAGAAGGGGGGAGTTTGAAGGTTCCAAGGACAAACAAAGGATACATGATTAAGGAGAAGGAAATGCTGATATCCTGACTTGATCACTCTACAGTATATACAGATACCAAATTATCACACTACACCTCTTAGATGTGCAATTATTCCATGTCACACTACCCCATAAATGTGCAATTATTACATGTCAATTTAGTAAAAAGCACTCTGGAGCATCCCTTAGGGCTAAGGATGAGGTTAAATTCCTGTCTCCCAGTGGGAGGCCCATGTCACTTCTCAGACCTGTTGCTGGCCACTAGTGGTTCTTGCTCAGACCCAGCTTCAGTGCTGGATCCCCCAGAGCCCCCACACTTCATGTGGGCTGAGACCTCCACTGGGCACTCCTCTGGCTCCTGTTGGGCTAATTCTCACACTTACCCTCGTCTTATCCTAARTCAGCTCCCTGGGAAGTCCATCAGTGCAGAGTCCATGTTGGGTCTCATGTTGCCTTGACACGCTCCTTCTCCCAGGGCTTAGCCCAGCCACGCACTGCACTGGCTGCTGTAGCAGTCACCCGCAGAGCACAAGAGTCACTGTCCAGGGGGCAGATCTCCACGCTGAAATGGGCCAGCAGTTCAGAGAAGGACTGGCCTGAGAGTGGGGGGCATAATGGGTTGGGCAAGGGCAGAGATGGAGAGGGGGGTCCTTAGATGACCGCACTGTTTCCTCTCTCCTCCCTAGCCTCACTCCATCAATCCAGCCAATTCTTTGGAACRGATTTCTCAAGTGCCTGCTATCACCAAGACACTGCTGTGAAGAATTGCAAAACTAAGGCCACTCCCTGAGTGTGCATGCTAGTTAGGGAGTCAAGACTTCAACCCAAGGAATGTTAGATAACCATGGAGGAATGAAGTGTGAGAAAACAAAGCAAGACTGTCAAAGATTAATGGAGTGTAGGCACTGCGTGGTCTGGGCTCAGGACAGCAGGGTCACTGTGGGCTGCAAAGGAAAATCCTCTGAGAGCCCCTGTGAAGGATGACCATRGCATGTGGGTGGGTGGATGGTGGTGGCATCAGTGATGAAGCACTGGAGTGAAGAAGGGTACTGCGTGCTCGGGACAAGACMTTCTTAGGGCCAGAACAGAAAGAAAATAACCAAGACCCCTGGGAGGGTGTGTTAGGTCCTGAATTTTGAGGACCCTGAAAACCAGGCAGGGGATTTGCCAMCTCCCACCTGTGGGCATTGCAGTTGTCACCAATCCATTCTACAGAGCCCAGATGGGACCTCAGATTTTTCTCCCATTCAGGGCTCCAGGCAGCCCCTACCAGTCAATCCAGGTGACAGTTCCAGGCTATTTGCCTTGCAGATTGTAACAGTCAAGATTGGCAATGTTATGATGCATTAACATGTATCCCCAAATTGCAGAATTTTAAAGAAATAAAGAGTAATAACCCCTTCAGTCTACATGTCTATCATGGGTTATGCACAATCAGAGRTTGTGCTCTGTGTTAGCACCAGCCAGACCAGACTGTTGGAGCATTCTCTACTTCAAGCACTGAAAGGTGGCAGGTCTGAAAAGAGAGAG